CAGCAAGCATTCACAGAAGCCAGAAATAGCAGGGTTAAAATTTCAAACAGCAGTCTTTATAAAAGATGGAGGCTTCAGTATTAGAGATCTATTGCTGCTAACCAAATATTGTATAAGTGATCAGCTTAAACAAAATACAGATTTTTTAAATCTCGTAACTTCTGTGGGTCAGGAATTCAGGAGCAACCAAGCTGAGTGATTTGGGTTCGGTGTTTCTCAGGAGATTTCCTCAGGACACTGACCAGGCCTGCAGTCATCTCCAGGCCGTGACTGTGGCTGCTGATCCGATCCACTGCCGGGGTGGCTGACTCCCGTGGCTGCAGGGAGATCTCATTTTCTTGCCACATGTGCTTTTTCCACTTCTCTCAGAAAGAAAAGTATTTTCTCAGAAGCCATCCTTTTAATTCCTTGTCAGAACGAAGTTACCTGGCCTCCCCGAGGTGAGAGGCAGGGAGCGTATTAGACTGTCCAGCGTCTACACTGGAAGCAAGGGAGAAGGAAGGCTGTACCTGGCTGTTGGGTTAGTGTCTTCCATGACTACCCTGCCCTGAACCAGTCATGGCCAGCGGCATGGAAGCCTCTAATTCCGTGGTTCTCAACCTTCTGGCCCTTAATACAGTTCCTCATGTTGTGACCCAACCATAAAATTATTTCCGTTGTTACTTCATAACTGTAATGTTGCTACTCTTATGAATCGTAAAGATCTGATATGCAGGATGGTCTTAGGCAACCCCTGTGAAAGGATCATTCGACAGCCAAAGGGGTCGCGACCCACAGGTTGAGAACCGCTGCTCTAATTGGTAGGGCCAGGTTCATCAAACTCACATGAACCCATGAACCAAGCAGGATTTGGGGGGAAAGGAGCAGGATGTTTGCGCAAAGCAAGGGCGTATTAGAGAGGACAAAAACATCCATCCACACAGCGGTGCAGGGAGTTTTGAGACAGGCTAATAAGCCAGGTCGAGGGGAATAGGGACATTGAGACAGAGAGTTAAACAGCCAAGCAGTTAACAGCCATCTAGCAAATCGCAAAATCCTATCTTCTGTAACCAAGGACACTTATGAAAACATCTGTAGCTGACTGGATTTTTTTCTGGCTCCTTTTTCCTGCCTAATAATCAGTTATTTCTTTTATAGTTTTCACCTGGCACACACGACAGCAGAGTGGAAACAAATCACAAATAAGAGTGTACCAAAATAATCGAAATTGTTTTCGTTTTGTAAAAACAAACAAAATGAGTAAATGGTTTACACTTCTCCTCAACCAGAGAATAAATAGCTTAATCGTGCTTTTCAGGGAGATACATAGCAGAAATCCAATTATTGCCATTTGCCAGCCACATCCAAGGACAGAAGAAGTTAAGGGAATAAATCTCATTTTGGCACCTTAGCATAAAACTGATGAATATTCTATTGAGATCCTCCCCTAAACTTTCAGCATTTAAACCCCCTGAGAAAACAAAGACCCCAGCGTGGGCTCTTCCTCCCTGGAGAATGCCTGGGCCTTTCCCCCTCTTCTCCCCCACAGGCACGCATCTTCTAAACCAGCCGTGGGCAAACTACGGCCCGCGGGCCGAATCCGGCCCGTTTGAAATGAATAAAACTGTTGAAAAAAAAGACCGTACCCTTTTATGTAATGATGTTTACTTTGAATTTATATTAGTTCACACAAACACTCCATCCATGCTTTTGTTCCAACCCTCCTGTCCAGTTTAAGAACCCACTGTGGCCCTCGAGTCAAAAAGTTTGCCCACCCCTGTTCTAAACTCTAAGGGACCCCACAAGGCTTGCAATCAGGGAGCAGTGGGCAGCGGCAGCTCGTCCAGGGCTAACCCCCTGAACCTGTCCCCAAGGACCCTTTTCTCCGACTTCTTAGTGAGCCAAAGCAGCCCAGCCTAGTCCCTCTCCTGTTGTTTCTTCTATCCTAGGCCCTTCCTTGTTTCACTGTCCCCAGCTTCAATAAATATCCTCTAAAAATCACCTGGACTTGTCATGTGAAATCTTTCCTGCACGAAGTCAAGAAGGTACACACTACCAGCCGGCCCAGGCAGACCCACTCAGGGCCAGGTCCCCTTTCCAGTAACAGTTCCACTGTGTGGATGAACTCATGATTCTTCAAATTAGTCAATTTTAGTTCTGAAACAAGGGGACAGGAGTCTTGATGGGTGTGGGTAATAGTTTAAATCCAGGCATGGAGTGGGAGGAGTGTGAAGGGGGCATGAAGTCAGGGTGGAGAGCATTTCAGGGTTAGAGAATGGGCTGTAAGGAGAGTAAGAGGAAATAAGATTTAATCACGGCTAGCCATGAATGCCAAGCTATGCTAACATTTCATTTAATACACACAACAGCCACATGAGGTCAGTTTTCTTTAAGTCCCTCTAAATTCCCATGTTCTATCCAGGTAAGAAAATAAGAGCTGGAGAAGGGGAGTCTTTTGCTGGAGTCACTCACCCGAGAAGTGGAGATTGGCTAGACCAGAATTCAAACCCAGGCC